GCTCATGGCCATAAAAGGATTATCAAGATTTTGAAAAAAACAGTTAGGTGGTCTGAAACTTAGAAAAATTCCTGCTGAGACTCATAGCATCCTGATATCAGGTTATCCACCCTATCACTGTCCTCCCAAATTATCACATCATATCCAAATTATGAGCAGGTTGACATAAAATCCAGTGGAATTCTTGTAAAAAACTCAACCAAACAAACAAAAAAACCACATCAAAAATGAAAAAAAAAACCAAAAAAAAACCAAACAAAAACCCCACCACAAAAAACCCAAAAACAAAACCACAAAACAGCAACAAAAAAACACAAAAAAAAGCCCAAAAACAAAACAACAAAAAACAAACCAAACAAAAAAACTCCCTAACCTGAAATGCATAAAATTATAAAATACAGTGCAGAGACTCAAGAGGTCATCTTGTCTATCCCTGCTCCAAAAGAAGTTCAGCTATCCCTCATTTCTCTGAAAGACAGTCATTTCACATGCAGTCCAGAGGGATCCAGGATTCAATCCCATGACTTCCCCTGTAAGACCCAAGGTCCATCACTAGAACCCATTAAACAAAAGTATTTCCTTATATTACCTTGCTTGTAAGAAAGCTTTTGTAGTTCTCCAGTAACAACATCTTGGCTGGCCAAAATCTTACCAGTCTAAATATATCTAAATATAGATATAATATTGATATATATCTACCTAATATATCTAAATATATCAATATACTGAATTAGTAAAAGCATATTTTAAAGTTGCCCCTTGACCACCAGCTCTGTGATGAGTTCACAGACTTTTCCAACAAGATTGGTAATTTCCTGATTAATTGCATAGGAATAACACGAAGTTGCTTTGTTTCCTTCTCTTCCCCAAAATGTGTATTATTGATTTCTAGTTTGGGAAACTTTTTTCCAGTCTTCTTTGTGATTTAAACTGTTTTGTCTAAGGCATTTTGGGTAGATAGCACTGACTTCTTGAGATACATATTTGTGAAGCCTCCATGGATGCCTTCATAGACACTTGCATGGACTTTCATGCAGCTCCACTAAGTGCCAAGACACCGACCTCAGACCTGATGTTCCTAGAAAGTAAAAATTGCTCCAGAAGGGAAGTGGCATCAGACTTTACAAAAGGGACAACATATGTTCTCTAAGAGAATAGGTCTCCAAATATATTTTGTGGAAGGCTACAATATTACTTTTAATCCACTATTGATTAAAATATTTTTTAGACCATGAGATTTTTAAGATCATCCCGAGACCACGGCAGTTTCTCAAGCAAGGATTGTGTTAAAAAAACAACTGATGGACTGATCTTACACTCCTTTTGATATGCCAGCAGAAGAGAAACCAAGGGAATGGTTGCACTTTGCATAAAGATTTCTTTTCCATCATGTAATTTCTTATCAGAAGTGTGAACACAGTTCCCTAAGTTCTCACAAACTAAATCTGGAATGCATTAACTGGTTTTAATGAAATGCAATTCTAGAACATCTTCTTTTTTATTTTTTTTTAAATCTTCTATAAATTCATATCCTCTCTTCTCATACTATTATTTTTTTCTTTACCATTTAAGTGCAGGAATAAGATTAATTTCTACTGAAAATATCTTTTAAGTCCTGTAATCAAAATTTCTTATACTGGTATAATGTGAGGTTTTCATATACAGCTCCACCTTCTTTTGCTTTCCTACTTGAAGAACACTGCTTTGCTTTTTTTCTCTTTTGTTACTTAATGATAATGAATTTAATGTTAAGTACTTTTTGTCATTTTTCTTCTCATTAAACAGCATTGAAGATTAATTGCTTAGCAAAAACCAACACAGACAACAAACACAGGAGTACAGGTAAGAGTCACTTAATCTGTCACATGAAAAAAACATATCAGAGTTTTGAACAAATAAATGCAAACAAAAATAAAAACTAGCAAGCAATCATTTTCTTTTTTTAAAAAGTGGGATTTTTAACCTTTGGAAAAAAATTTGATCTGGCTGATTTTTTTTCTTTCTCAAATAATATATGTAAGTTGGGTGGTTCTTCCTCGGTGGCTTTCTTTTTATACTATTCCTTGAGCTGTAAAGAAACTGCAGAAGAGACATGAGGCTGCCTGATTCCTCGGAACTGCTTCAAAGTCCAATGCTTCCTGTCCACAAGGGACCTGTGGTCACCCTTGCCACAGAGAACATAGTGATCTTCTGTACCCATACAAGAGCAGAAATCAATCTGATAGAATGCTTTTATCTCATCCAATCTTATTCAGATGAGAAAAATATTTTACAGCTAGACAAGAGTATTTATCTCTTTGACAGCCCCTTAGCACAGTAACATTCTCTATTACAACTCAACTTTACTCAAATTTTAGCCAAACTGCGTATTTTATTGAAAAAACATCAGAACTTTATCTGTATTGAAGAGCTGAAAAGCTAGAGGGATAAAACAGATATACACTGTAATTTCATATCTACTTCTCTTACTCCTTAAAATATCAATTCCTTTTCCAAGTATTTTGAGGGATTCAGAATAGTAGTTCACAACTTTGTGGATACTGGTAGCTAATTCAAGCAGGAGGTGAGTCAGTAATCAAGCACGGTTGGTTCACCAGGTGACATCCTTCTTGAGAAATGCAAGATGTCCAAAAGGTAGGCTGTATGTCTAAATCAAACTTGCTTTGTTGCAACATCTTTCCCTCAAGCCTTCCCAGTGATTAAGTTTTCTTGGTCTGTTTTGTCAAGGAGAGCTGGATCAAACAAATTTAAACACGCAAAATTAGATGGGATAAATATTGCTGTCTTTCTGTTTAATTTCCATGGTGTTCAGAAGAGATTAAATTTGTGCTTTCCAGGGGAAAAAAAGAGCCATTAGTGTGCAGAATAACTCTAATAGGAAAAAGCTACTTGACTCCCTTTTGCAATATAAAAATACAGAACTGAAAAGATCTGTATGTATCCAGTCTCTAGAAAACTCTGGAACAGGCTACTGAAGAAGCCCATAAAGCATCTACTCTACTTGCAATGGCACATCATGCTGCCATATCAGCTAGCTTAAGAATTTTAATAAGAGGTCAAGAGCCATAGCAATTAAGTGTAATAAGACTAGAACAGGACAGATTAAGGGAGTTGTCAGTGACAGAGTTATCTGCAACAAGAAGGAATTTGTTGAAGAAAACTCACAGATAGTGGGAAAAATCTGTAGTCCCTGCCAGACTGACTTAAGGAAAGATTCTCTGTTGACTGCAATTCTGACCAAAGGTGTTAATGCTGAACATATAAGGAGTATGCACTAGAAATCCACCTGTAAGGTTCAATGTCAATAGAAGCACAAAGACATTTTGTCCTGCAAACCCAAGGTTAGGAAAGAGGGGGTAAGGTTACAAAAGAGGCAGGAAGAGCCTTTTGCTCTACTCCAAGCAGCAGAAACTGACACATAGATCAACACAGTGTTTGAATTCTCATACAGAAATGTTAATAAAAGTCCCTTTTTCTTACTCCTTCAGAGACAGTAACACATGCAGTATATAAGAACATAATTTTCTCCCTGAGAATTTTCTATATAAACCTTCCAAAATGCTTCAAACTCAGTTTTAAAACCCCTTTAGGTTTTTCACATTAAGGACATTATTCCAAACCATGTTTTCTGATACTGTTTCCAAATTATGTGTATTTATTACCAAGATATGAATTTTATCTTGTGACAACACTGCCCTTTAACTGAAACAAATCTCCTTTATGCTTTCTATGTGATGGTTTGTTTTTTTTTCTTTTATTTTATCTAGGTCAAAGGATCATATACTTTAAGCCGATGAAATTCAATTCCTCACCTTTCTTTCTGTTTTATCTTAGCATCTGGTGATAACCAATTTGGCTGCAACATTCACTTTGACCTGTATGTTGCTAGTTCATTTTTTTCATCAATCTGACTGTATATCTCAGGGCAGATTTGAGGGCAACCTGGGCTATATTTGGTTACAACATTTTTCTTGAAAGCAAGATAAAATCTCACCCGATTCCTTCCCAGCAACTTTTCCACTCATACCTGATGCTACTCACCAGTGGTGTTTTCTGTACTCTCTCCCTGTTCCCTCTCCTCTTCAGGCTCTGTTTTTCCCCAGGTGTAATACCTAATAAGTATCTAAAAGCACAGAACTGTGAACACAGTTATGGTAAGTACCAGATAATCACAAAAAGGTCTGTACTTGATCCAGAGAGCAAGTGGAAGGTATTCTCAGAGAAAGCAGCAGAGCAAGTAATAACAGACATTTTAGTAGGGCAAATTACACTATGTATATCAATCACAAGTTGTTTAAAGTAGAGAAAACCAAAGGAAATGGCTGTAAGCAAAAAGTGTAGAAATGTTGGACTTCTTACCTCTGGCAGAAGTGGCTACAGGGTGCACCATTAGGCTGGTTTAGGTAACCACATCAGAATTACATTAAAATTAGATCTGATTGCCAAAACAGGATATGACCATCTATGCTTATCTACCTCCTCCAGTTTTAATGGAGTTTCATTTTAATAGTAAGATTATAAGGGAAAGGCTTGTCTTTGAGGCACAGCTTCCCGGCCCTGTGTTTATCCTGGTACTCCCACCACCTGGAGGTGCAATGAGACAGTCATTCCGCACCATATTATTTTGAAGTATAGGCAATGTTTATCCCTAAGAGACCAGCCTCCTGAGTGTGTTTCTTAACAACTTAGAATGCATACATTTCTAGTATCAAGATTCCTATCTGTCAATGAAATTCTGAAATGTCATTAGGGAGGTACTTTTCCTTCTGGCAACATTTGTCCTGTTTTATTTTATTTTCTATATTAATTTCTTAAAATTTTGGAACAAAGAAGTTCAAAATCAGTTCTAAAGCAAATTCCTTGAACAATTCACAGAGATTAAGTAACCATACAGCTCATTTTACTAAAAATGAGAACAATGGAAAATTGTTTGGGATCAGTTGCAAAGTGCTTTTGAAGGAAGTTACATTTGACGCATAATCCCAAAGAGCAATCCTGGCATTAACATTGAAGGTTGCTTGAAATCATTAGCTAAATGTTTACTGGCATTTAGACAACAAGGTAGATACTGTCATTTTGTACTAGTGCAAAAGTATGATGCACTTAAATCTTGAGTAATTTTTATAGTTGATGTAGTCATATTTCACAAGGGCACAGACAAGTTAGAAAGGGCATAGGGAAGGGCAATTGAAATGATGAAGAGAATGCAACGTGTCTTTTGAGAAGACAAAAAACCTGTGAGAGTGCTGTTTCAGAAGAGAAGGCAGAGAGGAATGTAGTTGAGGTTTATTGTGTCATAAAGGCAGCAGGAAAGGAGAGCAGAGAACTCCTCATCAACCCCACAGCACTGGAACTAATGCAAGCTCAATAGAACCAGTAGGGGATTGGTTTAAATAAAGATAAAAGGAAATACTTGATTACACAGCAGACACTGGACTTCTGGAATTCCCTACCAAAGAAGCTCATAAAGGGAAAGGTTATCAATGGGTTCAAAAAGGGTTTAGACAAAGTCATGAATAACTGGTCCTTAAACAGGACAGGCAGAAATGTACCCTGTAATACTCCTAATATTTCTGCATGCTGCAGAAACACACAGGTGAAAGAGAAAATGGCCAGACTCACATGGTCTTCCTGAACAGCATCTGCTATTGCCTCTCTCAGACCATGTTGTGCTAACTGGAATTTCTGGTCTATAGAAGTACAGAATGTCTAATATTCTTAAGAAAAAGCAGTGTTTGTGCCCTCTTCTGGATGCACTCGCTAGATGTTCATAAGTACAATTTCCCTTTCTGGTATTAAAGAAAATCTCTGTGTGTAAGATAACATAAATTGATTGGTCCACTTTTTAGAGGTATTGACTGAAACTGAGTGAATCTATAACATAATATAGTATTATATATGTAAATGAGCTATACTTGATAGCTTTATACTATAAGCATTAGATACTCAATTACTTGAAATACATTCATAGAAGAATGAATAAGGATAAAAGCCCAAACAAAACCCAGTTTTGGTCCTAGAGCAGAACTGTAGGAATTATGGACACGTCAGTTTTAACATCCTCAGCTGTAGCTACAGATAAAATTAATTATTACTAGATTATCTGTGCCTCATCCTGAAATAACAGTTCAACACATATCTGATAAGCAGGCTGATAAAGAATTAAACATACAAAATAGATGTAGATTAGTGGCAGAGTACCAAAAAATGTGCAGTGTGAACCTGATTTGTTTGCAAAAATAAAAGAAGTACCTTGTAATTCTATAGAAAAGTGGGCTCATAGGATCTTAAACCAAAGATTGTTTCATGTAGAGGCATGGATGGCATGGTTCTGATATCTGTTTGCAAAGGGCAAATACAGATGTCAAGCAGACATATGCTCATGCTGTAAGAGAAGTCTGTTTTGCTCTCTTGAGGATTCTTGAGGAATCACAAGGCAGAAGGCAGAATTCACACAGCTTTCCAACCAATCCAGCCACTCAGATGATGAGAGACTGTCTCATGTACATACAGCAGATTACAGAGAGACCCTCACTAACTCCCACTCTTTAGGTTTGGTCATATTTCGTCATTTACAGAGAGATTTTAGGAATGCTATACATACAGCTCAAAAATTAACCAGTAATTATTTATTGGTTAACAAAAAGCATGAATAGTTGGGACCACCACACAACACTGTTGCTTACCATTTTCTTTCAATTCCCTAATTTTTTCTTGCTATTTTCTGTTGTTTACTTACTAGCAATTGCCACCTCAATAATTACACTTTGCCTGTCTTATGACTTTTCTCATCTTAGGTGGCTATTGCTCAGTTCTTGCAGCTCAAAAATAATCTTCTCAAAGCTCTACATCACCAGTGTAATGCACCAAATCCACAAGGACACAAGGTCACAGAGAGCCTGAACCTGAATCCGTGGGCTGAGTTACATCTCCTGCCTGTGTCATTCTTCGAGTAAGTTGTCTCTGAACTCCTCTTTCTTCTGCCAAGGCTGTCCCCTGTTCCTTTGCACAGTTCTTAAAAACTGTATTTGCCTGCTCTTCTTGTACACAGCAGTGTAACATGATGTAATTACTGTATATAAAATCCATTTGTCATGCTGATGCAAAAGGTTATTTAAAATGGTAGACAGCTTTGCTTGCAAATCTGACATCAAATGATTGCAAAAATAATTAAGTAATTAATTCTCCCAGATGACAAGTCTTTGTCTAAATTGAGCATAAATGAAATATCAAACAGGAAAAACAGGAAATCCATCCTGCATATTGTGGTATGAAGGCTGGTGTCTGAACCTAGATTACAAATTTAGGCTCTAAACATCTTATTTACTGCAGAAGTATTCACCTAGTATCCTGCTGATAAAGTGATCAGTTGCTGAGTGGCAGAGGCAGGCTGTGTTAATGCAGGAATCAACCATAATCTCTAAGAACAGCATCATGGTAATAAGCAATAAGCAAAGGTCCTTCCAGTGTGGTTTCTGCATCATGCTGTTCATAAATGGTCAGGTGCTCAGAATGCAAAACTTCAAATCACAGCTTCAGGCGAGGCATCCTAAAGTGTAACTCCTCACAACACGCTGAGGACACAGTAACTGAAAATACACATTGTCAAGATTCAGTGGGCAGTTAAGAATTAAATATTTTCACAATTATCATTGAGTCTTGGCACTCAAATATTTTAGCATGCCAATGTGGTCAAAATTCTGTGAAGAAAAATCAAGAGCATAGCATATGGCATGCTTTACTTGTGTAGTGTTCAGTTTATTACAGAGGTCTAAAATTTGTTGATTATAGTGCTCCTGTGACACTTATGTAGTTATTACAAGCCAATTCAATAACAGCTTTTTTAGCACCAGTTTGTGTAACTTACGAATACATGAATAAATGTACCATGCTATCATCTGGAATTTAAATTCACACTTAAAAATAACACAAACATAAACAAACACATGAAGCAAGTAAGAATAATTCTGAAGTCAAAACACTGAGATTAATATGAAATTGTCACAAGCTGAGCACAGGAGATTGTCCTAGTGATAGAGTTACCCATTCTTATGATCAAAATTTTCATTACACTTTGCAAAGAAGCTACTTAAGAAATCTGCACCTGAAACTTTATTTTGTCCTTGTTCTATGCACAACATAGTATTTCTGCATACAATATAATCAAGTACAGGAAGATACTTCCTAAAAGAGGTATTAAAATTCATGGGATTTTTCCTCTGGTCATCATTATTAAAAAGAAAGATGCATTGCAAATTCATATCCACAGAGGAAGGTGGCCAAAAAATTTACATTTAATTCAGAAATGGTAAAGGAAGATTCCTAATAAAGGAGCAATTCTAAAAGCAAAACATATACGCAGTTTGAAAACTCTTTATTATGAAAAATGTCAAAAAGGCAATTTACTTAACAGTCCTTTTGTTTGTTTTCTAGGTAGCACTGTGACTGACAGCCTCAGGCAAGACTGCATTTCCATTTTCAGCTAAAATCTCAAGAATTCTCAGAGACTTCTGCAGCATCTTCTGAAGCTTACAGAAAGAAGTCTGAACAGTTACAGACTGCTTGGATGGTTAAATTATCTTGCATTTGGTGACATTTTAGCAACATATCACAGGTGTAGAGGCTTTGGCCAGCTCAAAGAAATACTTTTTTCAGAAGAATACCTAACATACAACACCCTTGGAATGAAATCTAATAACTAGATGATACCAGACCATCCCTTTCCTTATGTTTAAAAAAAAATCTCTTACAGATAACATCTCTTCATATTTAATTCCTAATAAAAACAACCATAAAGGTAACAAAATGTTTTTATTCTTAAATAGCAAAGCTATTTTAAAACAAGTTGTAATCACTCGTTACATATTGCTTAACAGTTTAAATAGCAGTGATTTGAAAGAACATTTCCACAGCAGTTCTTTCAAAATTAAAGTCCATTTTCTGACTTGTTGTCATTAACAGTAAGTATGAAAATACATATGTCACTATAAACCTGCACTAATATTAATCTGGAAATTCTGAGTCAAAATTATTTTAAAGGCACTTTACTAAGAAAAGCAAAGAGATGTTCTGAAGAAGTCTGTCAAGCAGGAGGTTATAGCCTAGTGCACTGTTGGCTCTTTCTTTGTTTTTAACTTCTGAACACCAGGTTCAAAGCAGCACAGTTCTCCTGCAAGTGCTTTCTCAAAATGAATGAAGTCAAAAGTATCCTGGAAAGGAGGCCAGGACTGCTAAGAGTGATTACAGCTAAGAATGTCATTAATAAATGGTAGGATTTACTGTGCTAAGGCATGGATATGAAGAAGTGTTAAGGGAAAAAAAAGGAAGTGAGAGGCAATAAAAGAACATGGTTAAGGCTTTGACAGGTAAAAGGAGCTGAGGTAAATGAATCCTATTGGGAACATATAAGCAGTAGAAACTATGATCATTTCCCTGCAGTCACTGTGGTAATACCCGATATTCCACTATCAGAAAAGACCTCTGAAAGTCATTGGCAAAACCCCTCCTGCTTGCAAAGACCCACAAGCTACCACAAGCTATCTCTAGTACAGACAGCCGTAATCCCATTGACAACAGCAAGGGAGCTGAGTGAACTGCATAGTGAAAAATCACTTTCTAGGATTTTTCTTTAACAGCTGAAAGTGAAGCACCTTTATGCACAGAACTGCCTTGAAAGGAAAAAAAAAAAAAAATCATGAACTGCTATGCTATTTATCTGATGTCAGCTTTATATCTCTTCTTATTCTGGTCTTAACACTACAAGACTTGTTGCAAAATCTACTGAAGTGCTGCAAGGGTGGTGTTTCCAGAATAGTCTGCTCAAGTCTGATTTATTTTCATCTTAAAAATCAGTTTGGTGGTCTAATCTCTCATCACTCACATAGGAATCCCTGAAGATTAGTGGGATGTCACTTGCAGGCTTTGATTATCAGCTATTGCACTTCCCTGATTCATAAAGATGTCACTCACTTTATCTGATACCATAGATTCAAATGATACCTTGCCCAGAGCATCCCATGGTACTTGCACATGGTGTGAAATATCCTGCTTTTTGTCTCAGATTTTTCCTCTACTTTAAAGTCCCTTATTTATGCATTTGAAGTTGTCTGTTGTGTACCCAAGTGCCATGGGCCCTCATTTTTCCCAGAAATATTCCCATCACTTTATCAGAGCCAGCTAGCACCCTGAAGCTGAGCCTCAGAAAGGAGGGAGAGGCCAAGAGGTCAAGAAGGAGATCTTCTCCCTTCAAGGCTGGTAACACCCTGTGTTGAAGGTGTTTCTGCTCAGATCCTTCATCTCCATCCTCCACCCTGGCCTCTTCCACCATCTGCTGCAAAGCTCAGGGGAGCAGCACTAGGGATCCTGATGAGACCTCCCCACCCAGCCGGTCTTCCTGGTGGTGGCTTGGTTTTAGAACATATATAATTCAAGTTTATCAGGAGACCTACAATAGCATACACAGCTTATTCTTTTTTTCTCTCCTCAGTCTTGGTTAGCTACAGTTGGTCATGGCTAAAGACAATGAGATAACACCCCCTTTGGTTTGTCCCTTTATGACACTTTTTTCTTATCAGAATTACTGTATGCACATATTTATCTGTGAGTTTCATAAAAATATTTTAATCAAAAATATTTCTTAGCATAATCTCATACAATGAGAACATTTCCCTGGATTTTAACTGTGAAATCACCAGCTATGGAGTGACAGAGCCTGTGCCTCACGCTGGGCAAACCAGCAATGAAGTAGGAGTCACCAAGGATGTCTCCATGGTGAGTGATAGGCCATCTGATGTTTCTTCCACCTCCACGAAGCTCCTCACCTGTCAAAACCATAAAATGTTATAATAGTAATTTTATACCAGTTGAGTTTCAAGGTAACAAAGCCTCCTGAAAGACCTGTCTTGAGGAGTAACTCATTGTATGAAAGGAGAGTGGAAACAGCATGTAAACACAGGACGCCCAAAACTGCCTGATCTGAGAGGTTACCCAAAACCAGGAAATGAATAATGACAGTGCTTACTTACAATAGGAATCCGTTGGATTAAGCAGCAACCAGGGGATTACCAAGAGGCTTTTGAGAAATGAGTCATCTTGAGAAGTACAAAAAATGGAAGGAAACTTGTGACTGTGGAGTGAGATGTGGGAGTGGAAGGCACTCAGCACAGCAGTTGGATCCCTGGCTCAGATGCTGCCAGAAGTCACCCCCCTGCCATCGTGTCCTGTATCACCCCAGGATGGGGTGCAAGAGCAGAAGAACCCACAGCTTGGAGTCCATGGAGTTCCTTCTCGCCAGCACATGGACTAGCAGGCAGCAGAGACCTGCACTGGTACACATAAAGACACAGGAACCCCTCCCCAGCAGGATAATATGCATGGCCACATCAGAGGGGTGCACTTGTCACCCCCTGTCCTGTAAGAGAGGGGTGTGCACAACTAAGTATGCTCCTGTGGGACTAGAAATGGTGGAGATTAGGGAGTCTAGCAATTTATTTGTGTGTTTTAACATCCTGCAAGTGTTTTACACTCTGGTTTATCTGTCAGCCTGTTGATATTGATCCAGAAGGTGAAGTTCACAGACTGTCAGCTAATTATGTGTCATTAATAAATCACTAAACCACTTAGATCCTGATCTGAGTTAAACCACTTAAGTGAAACAAGTCTTGCCTGCCACAGTCCCTGGTGTTAAAAAAGTCATATGCTATTAAAAACACAATGAGCAATTAGCTTAAGTACCCCTGAATTGCACTCAAGTTACAATAGGTCTTTAACTTGGATGATTGACTATTTCATTTCCTAGCAGAAATGCAGTTAGAAGTTAACATTCTTCTTCTTGATGCCCTAATTATCTCAAAGACAGTTGCTGGCTACAGTCCTGTGCATTCCTGTGCCATTCCTCTCTTTATGCTGTCACCCTAATACGAGCTTGTATTACAGAAAGGAAATTTCTTATTTCCAAATCACGTTTCAGCAGGTAGTCTCTTTTCACAAGCATTGGTGTAACTTGCAGCCCAGATGTTGAACCTGGGAAAATACCTCCCAGGTGAACAGTCTCTAATTTCTCATAGTTGTCATGCTATAACTAAAGAAATTAAAACTAACTGATGAGCTGAGAGAGTGCAGAAAGAGCAGAATTAAATAAAAGTTTCCTGTTCAACGAAAGAATTGAAAAGTAAAATGTAACTAAACCTTTTGGATCCTCAAGTATGAGCTGAAAAGCAAGAGGCTTCAACGATTAGTTCCAGAGAAACAACACACCCCCTAGAATTTTATTGAAAATAATAATCATGAAATATGGCAAAAAAAATTTAAAACATATAATTCAAATGTCCCACAGAAGAAATATACATATAATTGCTATGAATTTAACAGAAAGAAAATAATAAAGCTACTGGTCACCTAAAGTTCTCAACCTAAAAAGAAGCTCTAGCAAGGGGTCAGCCTACCAAGGACATCTTTGTATCTGCAGATCAAGACCTCAGCAGGAACAAGCTCAGTTTCAGAGGAAGATCCCTGCATGGAAGACCTCCTTCCTATTATGGAAGGACTAACATTAAACTGCTTTACTGCAGATAGGCAAGGGCACATCCCTAATTTGCCACCCTGTTTCTGGGGAGGTTAGATCCATTTCATTAGTTTTGTTACCCTGCAGTTACTTAAACCAGTAGGATCTTGTTTTGTGGTTAGTGGTGGCTGTTGAGGTGAAAATTAATGCTTTCTCAAAACACTTGCCTATGGCCATATCCTTTGAAATATCTTTCTTTGACACCATTTTTTGGCCAGAAAGCAGAAAAAAGTCTCACACTCTTCATGCAAAGTTGCTACACACTCTTTAGATTAGAAACAATCTTTTCAGTAGATGTCAGATGTAGATGTTATTAAGTATAATGGGTTTATGATTAGAACTCTCATACAATGCCGAAGAATCCACAAACCCACAAGTAAAAGTTAACAACCAACAAGAGAAACATAAAGTTATAATTTTCAGAGCTATATTGGAAAACAGAGTTCAAATAAAGCACTATAAAACTTACTTATAGGAATATATATAAAAACCCAATTACACGATCAATATGCTTTATGATGAAGAAGAATAAAAGCTACACATCTTCAAACTAATTTTCTAAGATGCCCCTGATGGATTCACAGTCCTATTATGTGGCTCTCTTTGACTTAAACTTAAAAAGTACTTCAGCAGCACTTCCAAAGGTGCAAATGAATAGTGGCCATTTGTAAAACAAATTATCTGGTCCATTATCTATCAAGAGCTATGGAACATGATTTAACTGTATTTACTACCACACAAAATAAAAAAGGGAATAAAAAAGTTAAACCCAAGACTACATTGGCAGAAACAGAAGTATTAGGTTAACAGTGTCTGATAACTGGCAAGACCAAATAGGAACTGTTCCAATTAATTACAGCTCCCACATGACTCAAGGTGCTTTGACAGCAGCAGGCACCATCAACTGTTCATTTGGGCTGTGAAGACATATTGAACCAGGGACAACCAAATCCACAGTACGAGCATTAGAAAAGTTGTCTGTTAGCTTTGTAGTTTTTCTGGCTTTTGTCTCCAAGTGTGAGCTAGAAGATTCTTTATCTAGGAATTAAAGATGTCAGCAACAACCAGTGGGTATCCCCAGTGCTGCATCAAACCAGTTATCTATACTGTGGCAATTTCTCCACTCTGGTAAAATACTACATATGCTTATTTGACCTGATTTGTGCAGACAAAGAAACAGAAAAGATATCACTGAAACAAACAAACAAAAAAAATAAACAAAACCCAAACCCACAAAAAAAATGTATACACACTGTAAAAAAAAAACACAAAAGCAAACAAGTCAACAACAAAGAAACTCAGAGCCCTTGACTATATTAGAACAATTAAATTCACATTCTGTCCTAGAGTCACAGAATGTGGAGCTGTGGCTGAAGTACTCTTTATTATTGTTTTCCAGTAGATTTTCTCTTAAACACTTCTGTTTTGCTCTGTGAAAGTGAAGTAATTACTGTTTAACAGTATTGCTGTTTCACTGTAATTGCAAATACTGAATAACCCATCACAGCTAAGGCAACCGCAACAATCACAAGAACCCACAGCTCCCACAGATTTGGCTAATGATACAATCTGAGTATAACTACAACATAATTAGAGGATTCTGCCCGTTACTGGAAGGCTGAGACTTGAGGCGTCTTTAAGAAGGAAATTAGGAGATCAAAAATGCACCGTATAGTAAGAAACAGACTTATACAACCTGTCTGGATACCATGTTTGCTCTGTTTCTTTTTAAATGTTTGGCTCATCTACCATCCAAAAAGAATACACAATCTAACTGAGATGGCTTCATGCTCAAGCTGAGATTTCCTTCATGAGGAAATGGCCTCAAGTTGCACCAGGACAGGTCTAGGTTAGGAAAATATTAGGAAAAATTTCTTCATGGAAAGTGTTGCCAAACATTGGAACAGGCTTCCCAGAGAAATGGTTGAGTCACCATCCCTGGAGGTATTTCAAAGACTTGTAGATGTGGCACATAGGAAATGGTTTAGTGGTGGGCTTGGCTGGGTTAGGTTAGTAACTGGCTCAGTGACCTTTTCCAACCTAAAGGATTCTATGTATTTTGAAATAAAAATAAAATAAAATAAAATAAAAATAAAAGCAAAAGCTGAACAAAAATAGAAGCACAAAGTTTTCAGGAGGATCATAGTTTAATTCCCACTGAGATTATATTGCCATATAAAATTACTTTCTCATGTGCCAGATCAGTAATATAGAAGTGTCAAAGGTGTCTCACAGACGGTCACAAAATCACATGTCAAACAACCCTGACCTTTGCATTTGATTAGTGGACTCTCATCCAAGTGCAAAGGAGATACTACTCTGAGACCTCTATCTCTGCAAGTGATGAACAGTATTTGAGCATTTGGTTATTTGTACATCAAGCCAATACCTTTTGAGAGGACTGGAGTGTCTCTAAAGCTTAATCCAATAGTATGTCCTTCCGTGTACATCTGCAACTGCTGAAGTGATGTGTCCTCCATCTTCTTTATTAGAGACTATTTCTAAGCTAAAAGAAAAAACCCTCACTTAGCTTGCCATAATTTTCCATACAAGTTCCACAGATGTCACCATCTGCCACCTTCTGGTCCACAGTTCATTGGAATAATGCCCCTTCAAGCCATCCTTTTTCTTATAAATGTGAAGCTAAAGGCTGAAAAGATACAGAGCACTAGGAAGAAAATATTCAAGTGAAAAGACCATTATAACTGGCATTTTTATCAGCCAAAACAGAACCAGGGCACAGGATGCAGAAAGTTGCCCAGATCTGAATCAATTTATTTCAATATATGAATTACAGAGATTAGAGATTCTCATGTAGGGAATTCAGGTTTACCTATCCCTTCCTGCTAAGAGAGAATGCAATGCATTGACTTAAACATTCTCAGATATTTATCTCAGCTTATCCACCACATGAAGGTGATAGAATTACTTGTCTTTAGAAACATGTAAATTAGAAAACTTTACTCTGTTAAAATGCTGTTCTTAATTTCTTAATCTTATCATCTGCTTACAAAGGGAGATGTTGATAACTATTTGATTGTTTAATTATATTCAGATACATATCCAATAATTTCCTTGAAGGAAACAATATATACTGTTTTCTGAGAGTTCATCCATAAACATACAAAAAGCTTCATCTTGTTTTAGAAATATTTGCCTTATTTGTCCAGCACTATTCTTACATGGTAAGGGAGATGTGAATGTAAGGGTGGAACTCAGACTTATTGAGCAGGTAAGAGTTACTGCAAGAATATGTTCTCTTTTATAAACATTGCATGTATTTGCTTTCGTTTTATTTTTAATAGCTAAGGGTGTTATTCCCAGAATCCTTCATATCAGCGTTATTTGGTCAGTATTTGTCATGGAAGTTAGCTTTGAAAAGGGATTTAAAAAGGAAATAATGAAAAGCTTTAAAGCCAGTTGGGAGGCAAGGTCACCTTCTGAGAAACACAGATAAAAGCAGCAAAGCCAGGATCACTGCAAAGGGGAGATCTTCCCTATCACCTAAGATACAAAAAAAAAATAAAAATAAAATAACAACAGCTAGGTCCAAAAAGGGCTTCGAAGCTGAGCCCCATGACTGCATATATGAGCAAGGAGCAAAAAGACAGAAAGAGGTGGGGGAGTAGAGAAGAAGCATTTCAAAACAGGATGCACCAGAGGAAAGGAAGGGTATGCAGGGAACGGCAGGTGGCCTGGGTAACAGGCTACAGCAATGCAGGTTGCTTTGATGTCATCTACGTGGATCACATAAATTATGGCTTTAGTGGAAGGACATACCAGCCCTGCACCAACTCAGTGTGAAGCAGTGCATTATCTTCCCATAAAACAGGGTCCTTGTCAATAACAAACTTGTACTCATTTCGTTACATATGACTTTTTAAATCAGTAGAATCTCATCAGTGGATAATTTTTAAGGATGGCTTATTTTACTTTAATTTAAACATGCTATTTGCCACTGCAATCTAAAGTGAAACAAGTGTTGTCACAAGCATCTTTCTGCTAGTTTAAGTGTCACATTTTAAAGTCATTTGTGCTAGAAATCACAGCCCAAGTGCATTGCCCTGCCTAGGTCAGAATTATGAGTGCAGTCGTGGTCCAAAGGGGGTATCTCCACTAGGGTGAGCACAGTACAAGTACAGTAAAGAAGAAAAGAAAGCAATGGGGGAAACCAGAGATATAGACCAGCTCCCAGAGCAAGAACATTGGATTGCCAGGGTTTGTCATCTTGGAAGAGATTATAAGGAATATGACTGGTATCTATAAAAACCACTAGCACAGTAGCTGCATTTGGATCAATTGCTCACTCATTTTTCTGCTAAGGGAAGCATCATTTGAAGCTGGGAGAAGCCATGGTCAAAATGGAAAAGGTTCCTTCTGATGCAGCAGCTCGTGGGGTAAACTGGACAGCTATCCTGAGAAGAAATCCACTGTCTTACTAAACAGGCAGAAAACATGCCTTCAGCTGCAGGTGGCTGGGGAATGGGAATGGGAATGGGAGAGTATTAGGAGGCATTCCCACAGAGGTTTAGCCTTACCTGACAGTGGCTGCTCCTGCAGGCTGCAGGATATTGGGCTGCAGTATTAGAAGAGGTATCTTGCTCTTATACAATACTGCAATTCCCTACATTTCACTAAAAATGTAGCAGTTTTCTTAAGGAGTATCATAATTCTCAAAATATTTTGCAATTCACAGTTCAACTTTTACGTGCAACATTTGGCTGTTGCTAAACAATTTGTGTTGAAAGGTTTTCATTTTACTGCATCTTCACTTTTGAAATATGAAGGTGATATATCATCCTAATTGCAGATGCAGTTATACCCACGTGAATGCTAGAACTGGTGCAATCTTTCCCTGTATTTCTAAAGTATTTCATTACTGTAGTGATAGACATATTCAAGCCATGACTAATGCTGGCATTTAACATTTTTGTTTATCATCATCAAATGTAAGATGGTGGGTGATTCAGGATACTATTATACTATGTAGATGGATCGAATTTGTTGTTGTAGTTGTGCTGCTGTCACCTGAACATCCTTCTGCCTCCAAACTTCTCTTTGCATATTTTCCATGTGAAATGTCTTATAAATCCTGAGGCCATCTTGCACCCTCATGAGGCTGTACAGCCTTGCTGTTACCTAAAATACACTGATGCAAATGGAATGAGACAGCACAGCAGACAAACTGCACAGCTTATCATGCACTAAATGCAGGTAACATAAAGCCCAGTATGCCAGCTTGCCAAAAACAAACACATTCCAGAGGGCCTGTTGTGGTTTAGGAATAGTAGTCTCCATTTTAACACTACTGCAAAAAAAAAATTAACCCTGTCCTGGTCAAAACCAGGACAGGGCCTAAAAGTAGGGCAGATATGAAGGCTACATTTCTTTCCCATACTCTTTCACTGTCCATTAAGCAGCCTAGCAGGTAAGAAGAGATCCCAAAGTCCATAGTTTTTATCTGAGAAAGCCTGTCCCAGTGATGCCAAGGCAAGCTTTGTAACAGTTAGAGACAAGAATTTCATGCATCTTTATCTAGATAAAGTCTGAGTAATCTGAGCAGAACTGAACAGTCCATCTCCCAATGTTTCATGCAGGAAATCTCCCAAACCTAATGCACCATCATATAAATTCTCTCCAAGAGACAAAAGGATAGAATCTGATTCTACAGGGCAGGAGCCTGTGGTCTGCTCATCACTGCACCTTCCTTTGTCTGCAAAATGACGTTTTCCCAGGTTATATATTGAGCTATTGCTTGAAGCAAGACCCCACAGTAAAGAAATCTGTGAGGAAAACATGGTTAACTTTATCACTGTACCCTATCACACATAGCTGCCTCCCAATGTTTTCTTCCCTACCCAACCTCTACCTCCAGAGCCTCATTCCGACCTTCCTGCCTCACCCTGCCTCCTCCCAAGCCCCTTTTCTCACCAGGCTTTGGTTTCATTCTGACTCCTCTGCCCATCCTGTCCCCTCTCTCTCACCGTTTTAAGCTCTCCTGTTAATTCCTTACTGCGAGAGTGGCGAGGCACGGAGGTTTCCCAGAGGAGCTGGGGATGTCCCATCCTGGGAAGTATTCCAGGCCAGGTTGGAGGGGGTTTTGAACAAACTGGTTTAGTGGAAAGTGTCTCCGCCCCTGGCAGAAGCGTTGGTACAAAGTGTTTTTAAGGTCCCCACCAACCCAAACTATTCCGTGATTCTGATTCTGCTCCAGTCGCTACTCCAAAAATGCCTCGCTCACTTCCGTTTCGCACTCCCGGTTTTACCGGATTTTGGCTGCTGCTTCTTTTATTGCAGACTTTTGTCGCGATGCCCTTTCCCCCGCTCCCTTTTCCCCACTCCGAGCCCCACCAGCACGCCGGTACTCCCGGCGGGCGCCGCAGCGAGCGCAGGCAGCCCCGTCCCCTCAGGCCGCGCTCCCGGC